ATAAGTCGGTCAAAAGACGTTACTGCGACCGAGTTCTCTAATGCCAACAAGGTCGAATTAATTTAATGTGTCAGCTTTTTGAGGGGGTTGTTTTCGCATGGAACACAAAACTGACGATCTTCCAGTAAATTTTTGGTTTTCTGAAGATGATCTTTTCTGTCCAATACGACGGTGGAACGTCCCTTGTCGGCTGGCACGATGCCGATGTCCCGATTGGCCTTGAATCCTCTTACTACAGCGCGCTCGATCTTGGGGAGCACGCCCCGCAGCTGATGAGGAGGGACGACAACAGTTGTGTTCTTCTCCATCGCTTTCGTCTGATTAATGACCGATTCCACATCTGCAATCATGCTAGTAGGCTTAGTATCAGCCGTGTTGAATGAGGCTTCGTGCTGTAGAATCTGCATTCGCTTACTCGTCAATTCTTTTGAAGACATGTTGTATACCAGTAGGTCGTTTCTGTATGACGTTAGGTTACGCAGTTTTCGAAATTTGTTTCCAGTGCTGCTTCGAGAACCACTTGCTTTTCGTGGGCTAGTTCAGTCACTCTCTGCTGAAGCAGTTTTGTGCTGTCTTCGCCCATGAACTCACAGCACCTGGTCTTCTCTTAGTCCCTTATCTGAGGGTATTTGCGCAGCCTCGCGTGGCAATCTTGAAGGATCGAACAGATCATTATTTTGCCGTGTTGAAGCACTGCGAGTCTCACCGGCTTCGTGTTTATCGGGGTTTGTATGTAACAAATTTCGGCAATACGCTATTGTAAAGACACGTCTGCAGAAACTGGATCTGCGCATAGGTTGAGGCCTCACGAAGGGTAAACGGTTCCATAATGTCCAATACTCTTTTTGCTTTATTCCCCCTATTGCATCGCGTAATTTAGCATCGCCAATAAGCGGAAAGATTATTCCTGAAATAATAATTACACATACGATTATATTACTACTTGTACTGATTGAGTAGTCATGACTATTTGCCCTTTTAGACTAACCGATGGCTGCTCGTTTTTCATCTGCAGATATGTCAACGAAGTCTTCTGAATTTTTCTGTTATATGGATGTATTGCTTAACAGTTATGTTACCAATAGGGAGCTCAAAGTGGTTGCCCTGTCTTTCCCTCAATACAACTGAACTGAACACAGAGACTATATATTGTCTCAAACGGCATCCAAAAGCTAAAATTCAGTTTTTAGCAAAAAACCAAAAATACATACTCAGGTCCAGGTTCTAAGCGTGTCTACATTATTTTTATCGGGAAGGGCGCATTGTGAGCGCTGTAAGGATTTACATATTTATTTCGTTTTCGGCGTCACAAATTATGAAGTTTTTGGAACGCTTCTGAACACACGGCCGTGATAATTAAGTGAATGATTGCTTAATGGGGGGTTATGCTGGTAATGATATTGTTTAGAATATTGCAACAGCCGAGTTGCAGTATTCGAACTAATACACTTATGATAGTGGAGGGGTAATCGCAAGTATTATCTATGGTGGCGTTCTGGTCAGCTGGATCTAATTTTGCGCGTATATAGCACTTGGGGTCCTTCAATATTATCGAAGGAAATGTTTGTTTTAAAGAACTATCGCCTTGGAGATTTGCCGCCGGGGGTCAGTACCCCTGGGGTTTGGGTATAGCTGGCTGATGACGGTTATTAAGTCATAAATGACCACTCTAGTCCTTCTTGTCGTTGTCGACATTTCTCGCCTATATATGATTAAACGAGACAAGAGTGGGGATTTCACAGGACTCGATCTTCGTCGACACCCAGCTCATGATGGAGGAAGAAAAAAACGTGCTTGTGGACAGAAAAGATGGGGAGGAAATTAAAAGAAGATTTTACAGAGAGGCGACGAATACCCTTCGTTTTCTGAGTTACCTTAGCAACCACCCGTCTCACACAAACGCAGTTGGGTGCAAACGCTATAGTGCCGAGTAGAAACCCATTGCAGCGAAACATCCAATAAGAAAGTCGAGCTCCAGTTTCTGCGGATGCTTTCTAAGATAAATGGGTATGAGAAGAAGAAGACTCGATCGCTGAGACAATACGTTTATTCGCCTGGCGTTTCGAGATCCATCGCGAATTCATCATCAGAGACATGAGTAGGAAACAGTAGCAGAAACGGGTTTCTGCTACTGTTTCCTATTAATGGATATCCTGGCAGCTTCATAAAAAAATGCAGGCAAAAAGCGAATGGAAGGAAACTAGAGGGGCAGTCAGAACCAGCACGCTTGATGATGAATTCGCTCGACTGGTCAGCGAGTTCGGGATTGGCGTCGCTGGCAGACCGGAAGTGACAACACACAAACAACTAATGCAATCTAAAGACCAAATACTAATTAACCAAAAATCTAGCGTCATTAACCGCATTGACTGTCTTTTTAGTCAAGCCAATCATATTTGTGAAACCGGCAAACGGGTTAGCACTAAACTGCACGAGTACGAACTCACCATGCGAAGGAAGGAAAAGCTTTCTTTGCTAATTACCCATGCATCCTCGCCAGGGCACAGCTTCGACTTCGGCAGCATGCCAATACTGGGTCAGTCAGACGACCCAACTTCACGCCTGCTACAGGAAGCACGGCACTCACGTGCGGATTCTAGTAATAGGCCTATCGATCTTCCGGATGTTTATCTGGCGTTGCGCGAACAAATCAGTCGCGGGGCTGGGGGTCGCTCCCAGCAGAGTTGAGCTAAATATAAAGTGAGCTGCACAGTGTTTTATTCCTTGACAGTGGGCTCGCGCGAGAGTTCGAAACGTCGGACAAATAAACAGCTACTCCCAGAGAGAGCCTTCCCGTCTTCTATTGTTGATATCATGTAGGTGCTCACTGACATGTTAAGGATGGGCGTAGATACATATTTGGGTTCGCCGTCGATCCCCGTCAACAACGGCTCAATGACTTTGGCATAGATAAATCGGTTAACTGATGACATCTAAATGGTCATTTCAGTCTCCCTTGTCTTTGCTCATAAGTTATATAAGATGGGGAAGTGGACGGGCTACTGTTGACCTATTCGCCATCATCAGCCACTGATGACCGGCTTTTTATAACACCCAGAGCCCCGCAATCTATGCCTATCTCGCCCTATTCTACGGTTACCTATGATTAACGATGCTCGAAAGAATCACGGACGTCAGGAAAACAAAATTTTTGTTTCAGTGATCACATCTTTTTCTTCTTCTGAACTGATTCCTGGAACTTGCATATTCACTTCTATTAATACTCCGAGGCTCAAAATTATGGTATGTATAGTAACATAACCACCCTTTAGAAACTGAGCCACCGGCTTGTTGTCCTATCGGTTTCAGTAAGGTATATTACCAGTGTCTGCGTCACTATCTGGTATGCAGCTGATTAGGCCTCAAGCCGACCAGTTTAAGTTACCTCAAGGCCTATCCTTGTTGGGGCTGATCAGTCGTTGATCGGTTTAATTTTTTTTTCAGACTGACGGGTGCTTTGATAAATGTAGTCCCTCACAGCCAAATGGCCTCTAATTGTTCTGATGATGGCTACGAGTGTTTTCGGTCGCCTCTCCGAATAACACTATCGAACTTGATTCCAGAAAGGTGCATACCCGAGAGGCTATTTGGCGAGTGTACGTAGGCTTTCGATGAATTCTTTCTGGACCAGTATGTTCATGTGGAAACGAGGTGCATGTTAAAAAGTGTTCATCTTTTCGTACAAGTGAGTCGTGTCAATAGGGGGTGGGGGTCGATAAGAGAATGCTGGTTATATAGAAAGGGTTTGGTGGAGCCAGTCTAGAGCAGGGGAACAGGAAGGAGGGCAGAGGGACAAGGTGAGCGCAGACGACTGCATGCTGTTGAGTGACTGTTAGCCAGATTACACACGCATCCTGCAAGAGGTTCTCTTGTGCACACAACCGCGGCTTCCTCAACCTGATAGCGGTCGCTTCTGCTGTTGCTGCTAGCAGGCGCTGACCCAGGCACTCTGGTTAAATTGGTGGAACTTAATAAATCATCCGGAAGACTTCGTTGGGGTCCTCACGATGTCCGGATGATGGATAAGCACCGACTCGTGCGACTGATAACACGAGTTCCACAGGAGGAAGTTTTAGCTTTTACCTCGTTCCCATATACTGGTCCGACGAGAATTTATCAGAAGCCTACCTACGCTCGCCAACTAGCCTTCTGAATTATCTGATGGGATTTTTCGCAACTTCACTGGGCACATCCTTCAGTTTGGACGACGCAAGTTTACGTTCCTGTCCCTGTAGTAAACTTAACATCCAGTAGGAGTCTAAATATCCCCACCTTCTTTCGACGGAAGTAGTTTGCTTTGGCATAGATGCAATATTGGCTTCGATTTTATAATTGGCCATAGACCAGTGCTGAATTGTAAGCTAGTATTCGTGTAAGTTCAGGCCAAATGGTTCCTGTTTTATCCCAAGTTTTACAACACATACTGTGGAGTATTGCCGAGTATTCTATAAATGATGGCGGATTTTCGATTCACACAACTTTCAATTTAGATCATGAATTACTGCTGAGGAACCGGGCATCAGAAGTTGGAGGCTATTGAATACCGACCTGTGAAAAATGACAATGGCAGCTGTCAAGAGAATAACGACCATATTGAGGATACGAGACTATTCTTTTCGAATTTCTAAAGGCCGCCGAAAGGTGAAATATGAGTTGTCAACTTGCTAGGTGATCCCTACGTGAGTCTGACTAATTTAACGTCTGCGGCTTTTCAAATACCAAGCCACAGCACGAATTTGTTCCATTTCGCAATCTGAACGGAAGTACAGCTTTCACAAACATTAACCAATCAAAAGTGAAAAAACGGTAAAGGTTTAACTCGTTAGTGAAGTTATAGTATTACTAAACATGGTTTCAAGATATACG